CCCCTTAAGTACAAAAATCGAATGCAGAATATACCGGCCTACAACAGTAGTGGAGTACCTGTAAAGTGCAAATTGTATACGTCTACATCGTCGACTATCGATAATTATCGCATTTGTTTTCAGTTCGTTTACTGTAACGTCCGACGATTCTCTCGACGTCGCCACCAGCCGACAACTGCATTATCTTTCCACGGAAGAAACCGAGACTGGCCGAGGCTCAGGAAAGATGGTGAAACGCAGAGAGACAGATGTGCGGTTCTAAACGTCCCGATGTCTAAATCGCCAGTGAATAATCACGCGGACGGCGGCCGATATGCGAGCAGGCAATCGTGCGTAGCCTGCAGGCGGGATTGAGCGTCACGAGTTGAGAGATTCGTCGTGATCCGGGCATCGCTCGTGGATCGTGGTAATTGCGGCACGAAGGTACGCGGAGAGATGCGGAATGTGCCTTTGTTTATGGAGATCAGCTGTGCCCCCCAAAACATCTCGCGTCACCCTTTCCGTGTCGCGCGCTCTTCTCGCAATCAGCGAGCCGCGCTGCTATTTTCGTCGGATAAAATTCGGTCAGCCGAATTTTGCCGAGTGCGGGGACGAAGTGATCGAGGAGCACGCGTGACGTTCTTCTGGTTCTTCACCGCACCGTTCGTGCAGAGAACTCGAAAGAGCTTTCGCGAAAAAAGAAAAAAAAAATTTTTTATGATTAATTCTCTCAACTATTCTTAAATTACGACATATTATATTTTACAATTCATTTTCTATTCTCGAAGTTAATAGCACAGGTTTAAATTAAAAAATTTTTTAATTTTGTTCTTTGCACATTAATATTTGAATTCATCATAATTCGAATATTTTTGAGTAACAATAATTATTTCGAATGATTTCAGTATCACAATATTTTGATGTTTATAGTCCTAATACAAACATTATATCAAATGTGTAAAAAACGAATATATAGAAAAAAATCAAATATTTATGATATACATAATAATCAAATAAAATAAAAAATAAAAAACGGTACGCTTATTGGAAAGTTGATATTTAATTCGTCAAACGTGGCAGTTCATTCGATAGTTTCAGTTGACAATCAATTGAAACTGCTCTGATGCTTCTTCACATATTACTTTCAAAGATTGGAATCTCTACTGTCCTATTCAAAGTTGAATCTGCAAATATAAACGAAATAAATAGCAGATTAAAAAGTTAGAATATATAATTGTGATTATAGTACTACAAAGTTAAATTTCTCACTCAAGCACATTATTTTATAATCGTATCAAGAAGCTGGAATTCTTATTATTTAAATATTAAAAATTTAATGTTTAGTATCAAGTTATTGGAAATAAAATATGCTTGACTAAAAATTATTCCAACAGATGAATTGCCTGAACAGCCATCAGTTGTTAAATATTTAAGTACTTAAGTATATTATAGTAAATTTGTATCATGTGATCTTGTTATTGACTAAATGGAATTACTTAATTGAAAGATTAATAAAATGTATAAATCACACGTTTTAAATATATATCAGGGTCAAATTTTTATAATTCTTATGATAAACAAATAAACACTAAATATTTGATTTCTTATGTGTTCGAGTTATATGAGTGCATGTTAAAAGAGCGACTAAAAGAAGATAAAACATAAGGATTTGTAATATTTACCGTCGTCATTTTTTTTCGTTTTTTCAAATGCGAATATGTCTATCACTTTGATGAGAAGTTACTCGTTTTCTTCCGATTGATTCGTATTTATGTCAATTCCTCCAGTATTTTTTTTAGTTTTTTTATTTATGCCATGTTTGGACAAGTGGTTTGCTAAATCACCTACTTTATGTTTAAGTATGTCAAACTTCTTACAGCAAATCTTGCATTGTATGGTGTCATTTGATGTATTCAATGTAAAATTTTTCGATACCCACGAACGTTTAAATTTGTTTCGTATTTTCTCGATTATTTGTGGATGTTTATGTTTCATATGTCTCTTTAAATTGGTTACGTTAAATGCATAACTAATGGAAGTGTTACAAACTTTACATCGTGAAATGTATCTTCCTTCGTTTTTGAAATATTGCCCTATGAAGCCTCTATGGTTATTTTGTTTGTTTATTTCTTCATCAAGACCTATTTGATGAATAGTAATTATAGAATTACAAAGTAAAATTTCTCACTCAAGCACATTATTTTATAATCGTATCAAGAAGCTGGAATTCTTATTATTAAAATATTAAAAAATTGAATGTTTAGTATCAAATTATTGGAAATAAAAAATGCTTGACTAAAAAATTATTCCAACAGATGAATTGCCTGAACAGCCATCAATTGTTAAATATTTAAGTACTAAGTATATTATAGTAAATTTGTATCATGTGATCTTGTTATTGACTAAATGGAATTACTTAATTGAAAGATTAATAAAATGTATAAATCACACGTTTTAAATATATATCAGGGTCAAATTTTTATAATTCTTATGATAAACAAATAAACACTAAATATTTGATTTCTTATGTGTTCGAGTTATACGAGACATATTAAAAGAGCGACTAAAAGAAGATAAAACATAAGGATTTGTAATATTTACCGTCGTCATTTCTTTTCGTTTTTTCAAATGCGAATATGTCTATCACTTTGATGAGAAGTTACTCGTTTTCTTCCGATTGATTCGTATTTATGTCAATTCCTCCAGTATTTTTTTTAGTTTTTTTATTTATGCCATGTTTGGACAAGTGGTTTGCTAAATCACCTACTTTATGTTTAAGTATGTCAAACTTCTTACAGCAAATCTTGCATTGTATGGTGTCATTTGATGTATTCAATGTAAAATTTTTCGATACCCACGAACGTTTAAATTTGTTTCGTATTTTCTCGATTATTTGTGGATGTTTATGTTTCATATGTCTCTTTAAATTGGTTACGTTAAATGCATAACTAATGGAAGTGTTACAAACTTTACATCGTGAATTGTATCTTCCTTTGTTTTTGAAATATTGCCCTATGAAGCCTCTATGGTTATTTTGTTTGTTTATTTCTTCATCAAGACCTATTTGATGAATATAAAATAAATGTGCTTTTAATGCACGATGTTCGGCAACATAATTGTTATGGCAAATATTACATTCTGCCCTATGATTCTGCAATTTATTATAATGTTGCCATATCCAAATTTTATTTTTCCTGTCTTTTTGTATGTTATTTTTGACAGTATTTTTTTCAGTTTTCTTGTTTAAGCCATGGTTGACCAAATGGTACGCTAAATCATCTATATCATTTTTCAATACATTAAACTTGTAACAACAAATCTTACATTCTAGCTTATCTGATGTGTTGTATATGAAATGTGCCGATATCCAAGAATGTTTAAATTCTTCATGTATTTCTTCTATTATTTGTGGATGTTTACGTTTCAGATGCTTCTTTAATTCAGGTACCAAATATCCGGTCAAAAGAGATGTATCACAAATCGTACATTTAAAAGCGTATCCTTCTTCTTGTGTGAAATAACGCCATATCGGACCGTTTCTGCAATCCATGTCTTCATCATGAAATATTTTATGAACACGATACAAGTGTACTTTTAAAATTAATGTGTTGCACGTAATGTAAGAACAAATCTTGCATTGGATTTTGCCATTTCCTAAAGAATTGCCGTAATATTGCCGTATCCAACTACTTGTCCTATTCCTTGGAAGTGCCATCACGTCTGCACAGTATCTTAGAGTGGGTATTACTAAACGTGACAATGTCTATATCATAGAGATATGTTCGACAAAGGTCGAAGAGTAACATGAGAATTTAGTTTGAATATAAATATTGATGATTTGAAAACTGATAAAGACTAAAGCCGAGAACACAGAATCCTATATAAAGCATAACGCATATAAGGCATAAGAAAATCCAACCAGAGTCCTTTATTTCATGAAAAGGAAGGAAATAAAGGACTTTGATTGGTTCATTTTCTTTATGACCTAAAAGATGTAACAGATAATTTATTATTAGATAAAAAGCAATTTTCGAGAATTGAATGGAAGATACGGAGACGAGTGTCAGAAATTCACGGTAATATAGATCATTTTTACTATAATTTTTCTGAAATTTGCCGTTATTAGCTGGAATCCACTCTACTCATCATATGTTTCAATAGGTCTCTTTTCTATAGCTGAACTAGTGTACACTTTTAGAACTTAAAGTGAGATAGTTGTATATTTTGTATTTATTGAAAGCGAGAAAGGGAGTTCTAAGGAGCTTCGCAGAATTTGGAAAAAAGGAACAGGAAACACAACAGACAATAAGAATTTCAAACTATCAGGAATCATGTATGTGGCGAAATATACAGTTTCTGATAGGTTGAAATTCTTATTCTATGTTTTCTGTTCCCTGATCCATTTATTGTGCGGAGCCCCTAATGCAGTTTTTAGTGGAGGAACAGAAACTAGACTAAATATGCAAATGCATTTCACACCATTTCGCTCGTAGCGCTCGCAATGTATATTAGATTCTTTGGATCTCCATTATTATCCTGTAAGTAAAATCGATCAACTTTAGGAATTTTCCCTGCTCAGTCATCGAGATCATGAATATAATCCATCGTTTTTAATTGTTTACCCAGCATAAGAAAATCCAACCAGAGTCCTTTATTTCATGAAAGGGAAGGAAATAAAGGACTTTGATTGGTTCATTTTCTTTATGACCTAAAAGATGTAACAGATAATTTATTATTAGATAAAAAGCAATTTTCGAGAATTGAATGGAAGATACGGAGACGAGTGTCAGAAATTCACGGTAATATAGATCATTTTTACTATATAAATATTCCTTAATTTTGTTTAAGTAAAGAATATAATCCATCGTTTTTAATTGTTTACCCAGTCGCATATTATTAATGAAAACCTTATTTATTAGTGCATGAGTGCGTACGAAATATTTGGCACCGAGATGAATGGAGATTTCGACCTCGTATGATCATAGGAATAGGAAGGAGGGAGATTTCGTATTGCGCTATTTATATTACGATCTTGAAACCGGAATATTCTTTAAATTTATCAACTTTAGTTGTTATTTATAACAGATGAAGAATTGAAAAAATAACTTGCGAATTTGTATTTCAATTAGAATTTTTTTGAAAGAGGAAAAAAGAATAAAAAGCAATTTTCGAGAATTGAATGGAAGATACGGAGACGAGTGTCAGAAATTCACGGTAATATAGATCATTTTTACTATATAAATATTCCTTAATTTTGTTTAAGTAACTATCGTATATAAATTTCTCTATGACTCAAACCAGCTAAAAGTAACATAAGTTAATACTATTGCTACCAAATATATATCAGTAATTTTGAATATTCTTTTATGTTAATTTTGCTAATCTTTTTAATCCCATGTAACAAATAGTATTCATTACATTTTTACTTATGTCTGTATTTTCTG